TTGTACAAAACTCAATCAACGTGTGCTGTTGAGCTTCCCGAAGTTGTACAAAACTCAATCAACGTGTGCTGTTGAGCTTCCCGAAGTTGTACAAAACTCAATCAACGTGTGCTGTTGAGCTTCCCGAAGTTGTACAATGATCAATCAACGTGTGCTGTTGAGCTCCCCGAAGTTGTACAAAACTCAATCAACGTGTGCTGTTGAGCTCCCCGAAGTTGTACAAAACTCAATCAACGTGTGCTATTGAGCTCCCCGAAGTTGTTCAAAGCTCAGTCAACGTGTAATGTTGAGCTCTCAGGAGTTGTACAAAGCTCAATCAACGTGTGCTGTTGAACTCCCCGAAGTTGTACAAAGCTCAATCAACGTGTGCTGTTGAACTACCAGAAGCTGTACAAAGCTCAATCAAGGTGTATACAAAACTAGAGGCAGTACTACTCTCTACCTGTTGAAAATTCTTAATGGTGGGAAAATTGGTGAAGAATTAGCCACTGTATACTTCACCCAGAGTGCACTTTACACCCACCTCACCTGGTCATTCTATAAGAGGGAGGATTCATCATTGAGTATTCCTGAACTATGTCACTAGAAAACACTTTGGCACAAATTTAGGGATTTCTCTAGCGACATCTTCCGTGGAAAAGTTCAAGAATACAAAAAAAAAAAAGGGAATGACCCTTGATGATATGTAACTGTCGCAAGAATAGGATGAGGACGTTCCAGATTTGATATATCTGCATGTTGAACGCAATACACGAACCAAATCGAACTGTGTAGGCAGGAAAATTGGACAAGAAATGTTCGACAGAAAAAAGAGACACTAGAAATATTTAATGTACCCAACTAACACATAATGTGGGTTCTAGGGGGAAATATTGATAACAACAGCATAATGTTTGGGCTAATCTCTGTCAAATTCTCAACCAAAGTAATAGAAGAAATAGATAAAGTATAGATTATTAATATTTTCTTGAAGTGAATGTAAAAGGCTTAGACTGTTTTCTGACGTGAATATACGTGTTCTGATATACAGAGAATTCTTGGCTCCTGGTGCTTCTTGTGAAGTAAACCTAGACAGCAAGACGGTAGAAGAGACACAGACACTCTTGAAGAACCCCTCGCGCTACACTTTCGATGCTGCTCAAGACCACGTCTTCTCACTGATGAAGAAAGACTCTTACCCTCGCTTTCTTCGATCCGACCACTACAAGAGCCTCATCAGTACTGCCCAACACGCAGCCCAGAAAAAGAAGTAAAATATTTAACAATTTTTTAACAATCATATCATACATTAAAGATTTAAATCATGGTCGGACATATTATAGAACTTGTCTGTCACTGTAATGGAAGAACTAGAAATACACGAGTTTTACAAGTTATTTTAACACAAGAAACTAATTGAGAGTACTGTCCCTGCGCCATGGTGACGTAACACAAGTTAATACCACATATAAGTTTAATATAATGTTTTTTTGTTTATGAAAATTGTAGATACAAATATTGGGTGTGTAAATGACGTTGCATTGTTTATTGTGATAGATTTTTCAATTTTGGTGCTCCAATCCGAAAGAAGATGGCGCCAGCAGCTGTGAAAGGAAAAAGAAGAAACAGTGGTTCTCATATGACCGGTAGTACTGTGGACATAAGCCTAACTTCTCGAAATCCAGGAGTGGAACATACCTTTACAGGAAAACATTCCCACAGTACAAGTGACCTACATGACCTTGAAACACCCTCTGATAAATTGTCGTATAGTAGGTAAGTTTCATGACGTTTCATATATATATATTATTTAGTCCATAGGCCACAAAACCTATATATATATATTATTTAGTCCATAGGCCACAAAACCTATATATATATATTATTTAGTCCTTAGGCCACAAAACCTATATATATATTATATTTAGTCCTTAGGCCACAAAACCTACATATAAATATATATTATATTCAGTCCTTAGGCCACACAACTTGTATAGTTCGGACCCCAAGAAATGAAGTCATAACAGGACGACAATTCTGACTCTTGCACATGCGCTTTTATGTCGTGTAAAAATTTAATATATTCAATTTCTTTCAGACTCTCATCTCCGTCAGTTTCACGCGACCGAGTTTACGACAGTGGGCACAGCACGCTCCAAGTTCCACGGGAATCTCAGCGTTTGGAATATTCTAGTGGCTCTCTGGATGAGACAAGCCCCAACCTTTCCCTGGCTGTCCCTCGTCGCACCAAGAACTTAGTCGCCCCGTGGGAGTCGGAAGATTAGGCTTCTTTGAACTGTTCATTGTTATACTCCACTTTAGTACGTTGCAGAATTCTTCCATAACCCTTAAAATTGTATAATTTATTTCACAATCAGTATTCTCGATGGTACTCTACCAAAATTACCATTTGAAGTTGAAATGGAATCTTACACGTGATCCTTAAATACATTCAAAGTAAACAAAATTAAACTATAAAGACAAGTATGGTGTTCTCGAAGTTCGTTCATTTCGCTACATTTAGTTCATTCAACTTTGTCCAACATGTATGCTCAAAAATGGAGAACTGACAACCGTAAAAATTTTAAAGTCGTTTCGTTCAAAATATAGTTCCAAACATATCGGAAGTTAATTGGCCTTCTAAAACAAGACACTCGAAACTTTGGGTAACTTCAGTTTTCAACTTGTGTCACTGACAACTTCTGGTCAGTTTCATATATATAGGGTTTATCTCTTTAATTTCTGTTACTGTTTAGCTATGCTCACTTTTGATCAGAAACTGATAGCTAACTGTTACACAGTGATATAAATACGGTTCCCCAATAGGTTTTTCTTTGTGGTTTCAAGTTTATCGAAGTGACCAGATCAGACTGGACTGAAGCAATATTCCAACTAGACCATCATCTTTATAAAGGGACTTTTTATTAATATCCAGGTTAAATATAAGTTATAATTTTAGAAAATTTGTTAGAATAAGATTTCAAGTCGTAGCACCTCCAAACAAACAGTAGAACAATTTTATTACCGATTGGTCACAGTCACTAGAGTCAATTCAAACTCGCCTGAACAGCAACATTGAAAATTTTAACTAGTATTAAATGGCATGTAGGCGATGAGACCCGAAGGTGATTGGCTTGTGGCCGATGAGACCCGAATATGATTGGCTTGTGGGCGATGAGACCCGAATATGATTGGCTTGTGGGCGATGAGACTCGAGGGTGATTGGCTTGAGGGCGATGAGACCCGAATATGATTGGCTTGTGGCCGATGAGACCCGAATATGATTGGCTTGAGGGCGATAAGACCCGAATATGATTGGCTTGAGGGCGATGAGACTCGAATATGATTGGCTTGTGGCGATGAGACCCGGATATGATTGGCTTGTGGGCGATGAGACCCGGATATGATTGGCTTGTGGGCGATGAGACCCGAGGGTGATTGGATGACAATGATCTAATTCCGTTTAATTGATAAAAAAATAAATAAATTATATATCATCAAATATTTTACTTTGGATTTTGGGATTTAAAAGTGTATTTTCTTGGAGAAAACTGCGTTTTTTGACATGAAATTTCTTATTCATACTAAACAATAAGTATGCAGTGATATGTGTACACAGTTACCACTTTAGGATAAAAACTGGATTTGAAAATGAGTAAACTCATGTCTATTATATAACTAACGTTTAAAATGTTGCTCTGGACTACTGCATAACCTAAATTAATGAAAATAATTGTATGAGAAAACAAAAATCGTCATTTTCAGGTAAAGACTCAAAAACTTGTATTTCTTGTTTTTTTATATATTTTTAATCGTGTTAGACACATATGATGATCACGTGACTAGTCCTAATAAGTGTGGGAAAGACTAATATTCGAACCCACCCGTGATTTACTTTATGAATAATAGTAACCATAGGAACGATGGTAACCATGGCAAATAATTTAACTGTCACCAGCGTTTGTAAACTTATATTTATATCCGGTTGAAAGATGATATTCAGTCTTACAATAAATTTGATGTACACTCCATCAGCCCCATACTCTAGCGTCCAATCAGAGGTGGCCAAAATAAACTATAAACAGACGAACTTCAACAGAAAATGAACCAATTACCTCTTCACTATTAAGTAAGTTCTAAAGTAGTTTTTATTAATAGGAATTTTAATAAGATATTATATTTAAATGAATATAAATCAGTAAAGTTGACAACAATTTATGTCAGATAAATGGCTTGCGGTTATAGCCTTGTCGTGTCTCTGACGACTTCACTGTGCTTGTATTTGCCTTTTTTTGTTTTAAGCCTATCTTTTCTTATTAACAATTAATCTTAACTCTTCAGGCGTTTAACTTGATTACTCATGTCTGTATTAAGTAATATATTTGGACTATCACCACTTTTTAATATTTTTTTTACTTGTGATAGTCCAAGTAAATTATTTAATGCAAATAAGCTTAACTCTGTCTTTTCTTGTTTTTTGAAGCTTATCTTTCCTTATTAACCATTAAGCGTAACTCTGTCTATTTTTTTAAGCCTATTTTTCCTAATTAACCATTAAGCGTAACTCTGTCTATTTTTTGTTAAGCCTTTCTTTCCTTATTAACCATTAAGCTTAACTCTGTCTTTTCTTCTTTTTAAGCCTATCTTTCCTTATTAACCATTAAGCTTAACTCTGTCTTTTCTTCTTTTTAAGCCTATCTTTCCTTATTAACCATTAAGCTTAACTATATTTTCTTCTTTTTAAGCCTATCTTTCCTAATTATCCATTAAGCTTAACTCTGTCTTTTCTTGTTTTTAAGCCTATCTTTCCTTATTAACCATTAAGCTTAACTCTATATTTTGTTCTTTTTAAGCCTATCTTTCCTAATTAACCATTAAGCTTAACTCTGTCTTTTCTTGTTTTTAAGCCTATCTTTCCTTATTAACCATTAAGCTTAACTCTATATTTTGTTCTTTTTAAGCCTATCTTTCCTAATTAACCATTAAGCTTAACTCTGTCTTTTCTTGTTTTTAAGCCTATCCTCCAAATTAATCCTGTTTTTTTTTTAAGGTCTGTTTATTCCATTCCCTAAACAAACGATGACATCACGCTCGTGTCATTACTGCCATCGACCAAAACATGCATACATACATCTAAGGCCGTCTCAGTATTATCGTTAGTCTCGAGACGGTCTTAATACGTCACATGTACTGTATTATGCAGTGTGTGAACAGCGCTTGTTTAACGAAAGTTTAAGAACGTTCTGTGACCAATCAGAGACAGATGAAGTTTGTATATAAGTTCATTATTTGTTTTACTAGAATAAATGGTGCTAGTTTCCAAAGTTAATCAATATAGCACTTATTTCTTCACTGTTTATCAATATCAACAACAAATGGGAACAAAGTCGAATTTAAAAAATATAAGTTTGGAGACGGCTTGAGTGTGTAATGAAGAAAAGTTATTATATATGAAGTCTCCAGACTTTTATTTTCTAAATAACTGGGTTTCGTGTCATTTAGGTTAATTTGTGTCTTGTGTTGCTCGAAAAATTAACATTTCTTTTTTTTTTCATTATTCATATTTATCCAGACCTGTTACTTAGAGCTGTACTGTCCATAAACAATGCTTGCAAGTCTAAAAAATCACAGTTTAAATTTCATATGGAATAATCAAAGCATGAAAGTTGATTGCGGAAACTTTGACCTCGCGTCAGCGTAGAAATGTGCACGCGGTTTTACATATTGGGCATAACGGAAGGTTATAAAATATGCAGATCAGCCATCACCTAACTTAAATGTATTAAGCGATTCTAGAGTGGCAGTAAACGTATAACAGTTAATTTAAACTAAATAAAACCTGGTTTTAAAGATAAACATGCATTCATCGTCTATTATAAATATTTGGAACCTGCCACTTTTTGAGATTTATTCTGTAAATGTGACTAACTACTAGGCCTACTACACGCTACTATCAGAAGCTGAACAGAGGAATACGAGTCCACTTTATTTTATAATTACACAGAATGAGTGGTTAATTTATCTAAATAAATTAAATAGGTTAAACTATATTTATTACTCTACTTTGAAAGCAGCCCTATATTGTGGTTTGTTCTGTTGCATTATTCTCCTAAAATATTTCTTGTTTAGCTCCCAGCGGCACAGAGGTAAGTCTGTAAGTTTATAAAGCTAAAAACAGGGTTTCGATACCTGTGGTGGGCAGAGCACAGATTTTCTTATATTATTCGAGAAGTTTTTAAGAAAGATATTAACTCTAGAAACATAATATTCCCCAGAATAATATGAAAATAATAAGGCTACAGAACACGTGTTTTGATATTCAATTAGAATGTGCATTGAGTGTGTGTTTCTCTAGAACACGTGTTTTGATAGGATTTACACTGACTATGTATACCTCTAGAACACGTGTTTTGATAGGATTTACACTGACTATGTATACCTCTAGAACACGTGTTTTGATAGGATTTACAGTGACTATGTATACCTCTAGAACACGTGTCTTGAAAGGATTTACACTGACTATGTATACCTCTAGAACACGTGTCTTGAAAGGATTTACAGTGACTATGTGTCCCTCTAGAACACGTGTTTTGATAGGATTTACAGTGACTATGTGTCCCTCTAGAACACGTGTTTTGATAGGATTTACACTGACTATTTGTCTCTCTAGAACACGTGTTTTGATAGGATTTACAGTGACTATGTGTCCCTCTAGAACACGTGTTTTGATAGGATTTACAGTGACTATGTATACCTCTAGAACACGTGTT